GATACGCGGGCCTCTCACTGCTGTGGCCTATCCCGTTGCGGAGCACAGGCTCCAGACGCGCAGGCTCAGCGGCCATGGCTCACGGGCCCAGCCGCTCCGTGGCACGTGGGATCCTCCCGGACCGGGGCACGAACCAGCGTTCGTGAGGCAGACTCTCAACCACTGCACCACCAGGGTAGCCCTGGTGGGTTCCCTTTTAACCACCCCTTCCCCTCCTGTGCATTCCCCGGCTCCTCCCCATTTCCCCTCCTCCTCCTCATTCTCCCCTGTCTCCATCCAATGAGTCTCACCTCTGTTTCTCATCCATTCTTACTTTGGCCTTGCTTCAGTGTTTTCAGCCCTTGATACTCAGAGTGTGGTCCACGGACCAGCAGCATCGGCGTCCCTGTTCCCTGGGAGCTTGTTAGACGTGCAGAACCTCACCCTCACCCCAGACCCCCACCCCGGAATGACTGAATCCCAGTCTGCATTTTAACAAAATCCCTAGGGGGTCCCCTTGCATGGTGAAGTGTGAGGCCTCAGTTTGACCACGGGGATCATACCATTCTTTGAAGGGATCATTTGGGAAGAATAGGTATGATCAGGCTGGGCCTTGTAACAGTAGACACTTTGATCACCTTCATTCTTCTCCCCTTTATGGCCTCCTGAGATGACACTCTGCCTGGGGAGTCCTGGCTCGTCAGCTCTGGCTGTGTGACTTGGGCCTAGTGACTTAACCTCTCGGAGTCTCGGTTTCCACATCTGTAAAATGGGAACAATGATGTACTTACCCCTTGAAGAGAGTTTGAGGGGACACAGAGATTATACCTATAAAGTGTTTTGTTAGCACAGGTAATAATCAGGAATTTCATCACAACAAGAATAATAACAATAATAATAATAATGGAAACAGTGCTCTCATTTATTGATCACTCACTATCTGGTCCCTGTTTTACAGAGACAGTAGATGAGGGTCCCGCCAGGGTCCATCACTTGTCTCACACATCTCCGGTGTTTCAGGGTAAGCGCTAGGGTCAGGAAGACCTGAGGTTGCCACGCGGCTCTGCCACTTAGAAGCTCTGTGTGGCCTCGGGTGGATTATTTTCTCTCTCTGTACTTCAGTGGGCTCATCTGAAAAATGGGGCTCATAGTAGCCCTGACCCAAGGGTGGCCGTGGGGAGTCAAGGAATGGATGCTGGTAAAGCCCTGGGCAGAGTGTCAGTTAATCACTTTAGCTGTTGGAAATATCATTTTGATCATCATTGTTAATGAAAGGCTGTGCCGGGCCTTATACTTGAGCTACTCTGACCAGCACCCCTCGGGGGGCGTTGAGGCTGCAGGACCTGCCCCCCAACCCCATGAAGTCACTGACCCCTTCTCTTGCTCTCCCAGGCCCCGCCCACAGCCCCATCCCACCCTCCTGGCCCTCGGGTCTTGGATCTCCGGCAACACCTGGAACGCTGGGGCCACAACCCGGAAAGCTGCCCGCACATACGGGTGTCTGGGGGCTACTGCCGCGGACCCCTGGTGAAGATGGGAGGCCGCATCAAGACCTGGAGGAAGCGGTGGTTCTGCTTTGACCGCCAGGCCCGCCGCCTGGCCTACTACACGGGTAAGCCCACCCTGGCTGCCTTGGGACCCGGGCCCCCAGGACCCTGGAAGAAATCACAACAGACTTTCACCCTAGAAACCTAGGAGTCCCACCCTCAGCCCCCTTCTCTCTTAGGCCCACGAGTCTGGATCGCCAGCCCCTTTCCCCTTTAGTGATCCAGCCCTCCTCAGTAACATGGGTAACAGTTTTGTACCACTCTGGCTCCCCAGACCCCATTTTCCTAAGGTACCCTAGAGGAGCATTGTCAGTGCCGAGCCCACAAATCTAGGGTTCCAGGCCCCTCCTCCTTCCTCTCTAGGAGAATCAATGATGCTGAATCTCTCCTTGAGTCCCTGCCCTTCTCAGGGGCCAAGGCACTAGGGGACCTAGGATTCCAACTCCCCAGACCTCATTCTCCGGTCTTGTCCGGTCACCACACTAGTCTCCCTCCTAGTCTCCCGTCAACATGCACTCACCTCCCAACCACAGTACTTTAGGGACCTACAGACTCTGTCACCATGTTCCTCACCCCAACCCCAGTCTCGAGACTTGGGTCCAGTGACTCCCCTGCTCCCCCCACCATACACACCTCTCACTGGCTCTGTTTCTCCCTCACCTCCCTCCATCAGACAAAGAAGAGACCAAGCTCAAAGGCGTCATCTACTTCCAGGCCATTGAGGAAGTCTACTACGACCACTTACGCTGTGCCTTCAAGGTGAAGCCCCTGCTTGGTGCTGCTCTGCCCTCCTGGTTGGAGCCCCGGCTGTCAAGCCTGATCTTATCCCTGGGAAGGGCCACCCACAGCCCCTACTCCATCCAGTGGTACTCCATCCAGCACAGGAAACCAACAGATCATTTCACTGCAGGGACCAAAAATTAAGAGCTTAGTCTTTGGCTCTCAGCCCACTGATATTTTTCTTGGAACAAAAGTTTTAGAGCAGAAATTTGGCAAACGCAGATGCCAAGTTGAGAATAAATGTCTGAATTGGGCAGGGTGAGGACTGAGGCAGCCTGGGAGCATCTAAAGGAGACGATCATTCGTTAGCATCTGCCCGTCATTGCCAAACGGTGATGGGCCCCATGGTGTCATATCATATTTATTTTTCCCCAGAGAATGCAGGAATTGGAACTTTTATAAAAATAAAAGTGCAAAAAAATAAAAAATAAATAAAAAATAAAAGTGCAGTGCCAGAAACTGATACAATGTTTAGAAAGCTCTGGAGAGCAACTGTGGCTTTTTAGAGCTTAGGCTGGAATCCGAGCTGTGGGACATCAGGAAAGTGACTTCCATTCTCCAGCCTTAGTTTTCTCACCTGCAGAATCGGCACTCTTCAGCTCATTTCTTCAGAGTTGAGAAGGTTAGAAACAGATAATGGACGTAAAGGATTTACCTAATTCAGGGTTGGCAAGTAGGTACTCAATAAATAGGTTGTAGACACTAGGTTTTTCCCAGTTACAAACCAGGGGGACCTAGATTTGGGGGGGAGGGGAAATTTGAATGTATTTATTTCTAATATAGGAGAAGGTAGGCTGGGGGATTGGGACATGGGTCCGTCCTCTTTTTTTTTTTTTTTTTTTTTTTTTTTTGCCTGTGTTGCTAATCTTAGAGGCAGTGGTTTGCCCCTCCCAATTCTTAGGGACCCAA